GCTACCTTGATCCATCTGACTATCCAGTACAATAATCAGAACAGAGTGAATCCCGATTTCGAAATCGCGCTGTGTGACCTTAGAGCATCACTCCTTGCTCAAAAACACAAAAGCGATGAACCCCTCCCCTAAAAAAAGTACCACCGAAGATATCCCGTGGAAAAAGTACCATCGAGCAAGTCAAAGCTCGAATATCTTGGCGTCATCAATGAGATTGATGAAAACTGTGAACAGGACCTGAACAGGCTCGCGATGGTCGTTCGATCATACTGCATTTGAGTCCTGGGATCGTTGCTTCCAAACATCCTCTACAATAAGATCTTCTCGTTTACAACGTGTTGAATTTCTCGAGTCTGCCAGAAAGTTCGTTTCTCACCCTTAAGCGGTATGACCTCCGTTTCAATCCGCAGCATTCGGCGGCAGCCTCGAGTATGCCGTTCTTGAAGAGCAGCCACTCGGTTTCCACATCGGTGGCCATCGCTGGGATTTGTTTAAACCGTCGTGCGATGTTGTTTGCAAATTTCGCTCTCGTGTCCACCGAAGATAATGTTTCCGATTTGATTCTCCGGTAGGTTCTGCCACCAGATCTTCGTATGGTACTCCACTTCTTACAGCGCAGCGTGCCAACAACAAGGTGATGATCGGTTGATGGCTCTGCGCTTCTCTTAACACGAACATCCATTACTGAGCGTCATAAGTCAGACGATAGGAGTATCAAATGTATCAAATCAATCATCGACTTCTGTGCAGAAGCTTCCTGGTATCAGATGTTCTGATGCACTTTTCGATCATCGAAGGACAATGGACAATCCGTTGTTTGCACAAAACTGCAACAACTTCGTGCCGTTTATGTTGCGGTCCCTAGGGCCGTTTTCTCCAAATACGCCTTTCCACTTGTCAGCGTCTACTCCGACATGGGCATCAAAATCGCTCATGAGTATGATGGACTCTGTATTCGGCACTTCGAACGGAGCACTCTGCACTTCTTCAAGGAAGGAGTCATATTCGCCGACGAAATTGAGCTCTTCGATCTGTGACAAGGTCAACACTATAGCCTATTGCAAATTGTAGGTTCAGTCGGAGGATTGCCATCCTTCCGCTGATAGGCTAGCATTCAATGATTCGATTAGTCAGGTTTTCTTCTACCAGAAAGCTAATACCGGCCTGACTGCACGTCGGGGTTTTGACATGTGAGTAGAATAGCTTCCACATGCAGAGATTTAAGGATTCCAGAGCCTAGGGGCTTCACTGACGAGAGTCCAACTATATCCATTTGGTACCTTATGGCTTCATCAACTAAATCTTGCTCTTTCCCTCTGAGTGAGGACATGTTCCAATTGCCGACTGTTAGTCCCACAGTCAGTATCATTCACGAGGACCTTGCGATGTTATAATGGCATCGCGGTGCCCCCCTTCCGTTGTTTCCTAAAATCGTCGCCGCCCTTGATAATCCGAACAACGACCAAGACGGTATAACGTTGGACGACGACGTCATTACCACAAGGAACAAGTGGCTAAGTTTTACGAGGGACATCAACGTCCCTCTTCCCTTTTCATCCAAGTTGTAACCAGCAACAACGCGTCAGATTCTTTAGAGCGGAACAAAATCACAGATGAAATCCCAGTGAGTGACTAATTATAACCGCGATGTTCCGGGGATATAGAATACTACGACATATTGGGATAGAGTCCTAAGCACTTCAATGCAGTTTGTAGGTCTCTCGAAACTCGTGATCGATAAGTGTCCTGACCTTGTTTATCGAATCAGCAACTAATAAACAAATGGCGGGCACGAACACATTTTTTATACATAGGTAATATTCGTGACTGTTTAACAGATAAAATCTATTTTTACACAATAACTAGACACACAGCAAAACAATCACTGTTACACTCATTTACATAGTACTTAACTATATAGTACCGTAATCCTCAGAAATAATCTGATCACGTAAGTCGTGCCGAAAGGACATGTACTCTACTACTTAATGCGCAACGAAAATATTGTCGAATGAACCTCGATTTCAGATTCAACGAAGAATGGTGAAAACATATAAGTATGTATATCTAGATTTATTACTAATCTGATAACTACTAACTTGATGCAAAATATTAAAGTACATAAGAGTGTTTTAAGGGAAATTAATGATTAAAAGTTGTACAGCTCTGATAAATATATGGATATTTAAAATGTGTCATATGTATAGCCAGCTGTTCGTTATTCGGTATCCTACGTAAAGAAGGGACGCAAGAAAAACAGCACAACTTTTGCTTTCTTACAAACGGCGTCAAGATCAAAATTTTTAAATTTTCGTAAATTGTTTTCGTAAATATGTAAAATTCGAAAATGTAAATAGCCATTGATAACTTAATATTCGTCTAAACTTCGCCCAATTTTACCTTATACCGTTTCGTGTAAAGGTACTTTTTTGAATCCCCTGATTCGCAAACCGTTTGCATGTTAGCCAACGAAATTAAAAGGAAATGCTTCCGGGAAAAAGGATAAATAACGCATAATTGAATATTTTTATGATTACGGAGCAGACTCGAATCTAAAAATGATATGTTAAAGTAACATCAAATTTAGCGCACCGCAATACCGTACTTCTGATTGAATAAATGCGCAAGTTTCGATTAAGATTATGTTCGTTACAATTTATATTCATTTTTGATTCATTCATGCTTAATTAACGTTGGAAGGTTTATGATGAAAGAGAGTTGTAAAAAAATTGGTGATAGCTACAACTTTGACATGCGATTTGCTATTTGCCACCAAATCGAAATTGGGTTAAACCTTGCACTGCATGTTATGATGGATAATCCGCTATTAGATGGGGCAAAGCAAAATTCAGTCACAATGAGCGATCACATTGGATTGCATGGCTGACACATCCTCTATTCTTTCATGACCAGATAAGAATATTATTCCGTCCCTGTTATTCGCAAGCCACCACAGACTTAATATCATTTTACGTTGCTCGGCTAGTTACGCCGAAGCAACGTTGATTTAATTCCTTGCTCAAGGAAATTCAGTGTTAGGACAGATGTTTCCCTTAAGTAGGTTCGAAGCATGCATTTGGAGTTAAAAGCCGATCTCTGCCATTGTGCAACGACACCACAACTAGCAATAGAGTCGTTGTAAGCACTGCATAATCTATTTCGATATGAATGATTCAAACATCTAAGTTATTTCCAAGGCTGTTAGCAGGCAGTAGCATTATTGTTCGCGAACAGACTTGATAGTACATCCATAAACTATATCTTTGCCAGCCGCTGATACGTCGAGAAAAATAAAAGGGGAATATGTCTTAAGTATGGCTAACGAAAATAAAATGAAGTACTGCTTATTTCTCACATAATAGATCAAATGTATTGAGTTGTTCTTATTAACCTGTGTATGAATATGACTGTAAACGCAAAAACAATATTTCAACATTTAAAACATCATTTTCATGCATAACGCCAACCAATTGGTCGTTTTGGTAATTCATCAGTACCGACATTTCGGTCTTTATCTTACCAGCTTTCTTCAAAGAGGGGTGGATTGGTTTCAAAAATTTTATTATAGTTCAGAGATATTCTGAATTTTAAACCCCGATAACAAGGTTTTGGTCTGTGTTAACCAGTTAGGTAATTTCGTGGCGACAGGGACAACAAAACTTGTTAAATTTGTGGAATAATTTGGTGCGAGAGCAAGACCACAACAAACTGAAATGTGGATAATTTAACGAGATTGTTTTTCCAAAAGAAGTTTATCACGCTGTCCCTGTTAAAGGTCGCAGTTGCAGTCTGTGCCTTTTATTTTATTATAATTCCATGAAAGCGAACTGAATATGGTTCGAAATGTTAGCGGATGCTTGTCAGATATTACTGCTTTGTTTTAACAGCCGAAGAACAATGTTTCATTTAGCGAAAATGTAACTAAACAACTTGCGTACAACAGCATAAGTCGTGAGTACGACTTCGTTGACCGTCAGACTGCAACACATGGGCCCACTCTTAATTATTCAGGTGCAATACTGACATTGTGTGATCGATTATTGCATTTTTGACTATTTATCTGCGAAGTGAATTCCGCTGATTATGTCAGGTGTAAATGAGTCAGGAGCATTACAGTCATAAGCCACCAGTATAGAACACTGTACCTTTAAGCTTCACAATCTTTAACATTACCGTGACAAACATAGTACTCTTCCAACTATTCACAGGACACCGATTTGCTCTCCGTGTCTCAGAAGCTGCACAGAAGTACAGTGAAGGTTAATGCCTATCTCAAGGGAATAAGCGTTAAACTAAGAAGATGGATGAAGTTAAGAAAAACTGACCCATTGGCACCTCTGGCATTCAAAAACTGAAGACTTCCCTTTGCACTACTGTTCCCATAATTGCCTGAATTTATGTACTGTTCTGAACGCGCTCTCTTTAAAGTATGACCGTACTAAAAATTTTATACGTAACATGTATTTTATGTTACGTTAAAATTCGTATATAATATTTCGCTGCTATCGTTAAACGTCTTTGTTAGAATTGGTTTGTCTAACATGTTTTTAACTCATGTAAATCTTCTTTTTCTTTAGAGCGCGTAATCAGATTATGCTGCAGAGATGAATTGGTAATTTAAATGTTATGCACCCTTATGATTGCGGTTACGAATCAGTGGAGTGCACATGCTGATCACTTGACAAGTTTTTCCAGCCTATTTTATCTTACGGCTGAATAGTAAGTACATTTATTTGATAGTCTCGCTTACCAAAATATTTTTTTAGTAATCTGTACGTCAAGCAAGAGTTGCCAGGAGTGTACTGTTTGCCATTAGCCTCTGATCCTTACAGTCTGTTATCAGCATGTTTTGGTTCATTCTTTATTTATCTAATCGTTGCAGAATGGGCTGGCGTCATGTTCATACGGAACGGCTCCTACCGTGGTGCCATCTTTCGCTTTGAAGTTGATATTCCGAAAAAGTTTCCTCTTTGCGACCGACCGCCAAAATTTTATTTCAAGACTGCGGTGTTTCATTCTGCTGTTGATCCTCAGACTTATGCTACTGACGAAAGCATGTTCACACCTTGGAAGTAATCTTATAAACATTTTTGATAGAACAACTATCATTTACTAGCGATAAGAAATTTGACTTACCTTTTGAGCCTATGCAGCATTTAACGGTGTAAATAACAGTTTACATTCATCGTCATAACTATCATCAGCCTTTATCAGAATAAATAGATCTGAACGATGCGTAATACGAAGAATTCAGCACCCTTGGATTTCTCATTGCATCCGTTACTTGTAAATAACAATTCAGTCATTTAATGTCCACCTTTCAGATACTTGGGTATCATTTTGTGATCTGACATTATTTGGCCCGCTTACGTGCAGTAATTTGCGGTAAAGTACTGTAGAGCCTCATTTTATGTAAAGCGTCTGAGATACCTTCATGTACTTCATGATGCCTTTAGGAAATTTGACTTTGCAGGTATTCTGCCACTATGCATATCCATCAGCAGTCATCTATCCAGGCCTAACAATATGCGAGTGCACGGCTCTAAACCGGTTACTGAGACAAGTCTCTGTTGTAAATTGCCATTCACCCAGTGATCTGTTGAGGCAGTTCGTTGATTTATCATCTTTCGTAGCACTCACCCACTACATGACCAATCCTCAAATGTCTTTTATAATTTCAAGAATTACTTCTAGGTGTGTCAGTATTTGGCCTTACATGAACTTCTTTAGTGAGTCATAACCTTCTTCCTGTTAGTCTCTATTAACTTTGCTTTCTGATTCTATATAGGTTTCGCTGGCAGTTCACTTTTCCACTGGTTCTTTTGCTCAGCTTGAAGCATACACGTGCAATTCAGATATATGATACATTCATTAGTTTCATGGTTTCTTTAATTTACTTTGCTCAAAAATTGAATTCTTTGTCGATTCATTCAGGCTGTAGGCAATCATTCATTCATTCACTATCGATCCACTGATAAGTGAAGATCTCGCCAAGATTTTTTTTGGGGGCGGGGAAGGGTTACGTCTGGTGCTGACTGTTTCACTGAGTAGTCAATTATTGGGTATATCAGGACGAATTGCAGCCACCTAATGCGCTCGCACCAAACAGAACCACCTTTGCTTCATTCAGTTATAATCACACCAGACCGCGGTGCTGTCCCTATTGTTCGCAGGTCAGCTACTTGCTGTCCGTTTCTCGGCTGGCTGTCCCAAAGCAAGATGGGATAAATTCCTTGCGCAGGGTATTATTAATCCTGAACTGAATTGTCGATCAAGGGAATTTTTTTTCTGAGTTCTAATCCGGTACTTCCAAAGTTAAAAGACAATCTTTTCCTACTATGCCACCATCACCGCATTTTGATAGTTTTGGATGAAATAGAAAAAGCTCTGAGCAGTCCGTCCGTACAGTAGGTTCAATATTGTTGACCTTGAACTTGTATCAACTTTGCCTTTTGAGATGAGCTGAAATATAATTCGGATGCTATGAAATGGATCAATACTTGTTGACATCCATCTTGTATATGCAGTAAACATGTTCATGTATACTGTAGAACGATCGCATTAAACAAAGCATGAACTTTCCTCTCAAGATCAACATTGATTCTTTAAACAGAAACATGGAGTGACCTTGCATATTTTGTGCAAGCGTTTTACAACAGTGATGGTAAAGGCTGTTTTGGATGGCGGATAAAATTTTTACTTTGAGCTTCAGATTTTTACCTGTGTTAAAAAGTACGGTCCTTTCATTTTATTAAATTGCTACATGTGCAGTGTTCAACAGAGGACTGTTGGTTTTGGAGCACCCTGAATGTATATTGCGACTTTTTATGAACAAGGCGCTACAGATTATACAGTGGGGTTGCAGGACTACCTTACCACCTAGGCGCATTGTTTTTTGTTGGTTTATATTCAAGCCACTGATAGAGATCGTTTTTGTTTATCCTAGCTTTATCTATACCGTCACGTGAGAAAAAAACCCACGTTAGTGTTCTGGTAGGACGTGCGGGTACTGCTATATTGTTACGGAATATCTTCGCCCAGATTCCTCGTCTAAAAATATACTTGTGGTTAAAGTAACGGTTCTCGTCAACTACGTGTATCAGATACTTATACTGAATTTGATATACTAGTTTGCTGAGCCGCTTTACATGGACGGATGCGATACTGTCCAGTAAAAACAGTTACTTCGTGTGTTTGTCAAACAATCGCCAAGTCTGTCAAGTAGAATTTTGAATTTTAAATTTTTGGTTCATATTTAGGGGTCGAAACCGCCACCTTTTTCATGTGATCGAATATGCACTTCAGTTATTTTACGAATCTGATCAGACGGGCAATTTAAATCCAGAAGCGGTGAACCTGTACTTCAAACATTGCTTTCCGTCGATGTCATTCTATGCAAATACTTTCAGATACGAACACGCGCATGAAGATTACTTAGAGAAGGTCGCTGAATGCGTACGATTAAGTAGAGAGACAGTGTATGATCCGGTCGACTGTTCTGATCCACATATAATGAGGTTTGCTTGTACTGCTTTGGCTTTTATTTAGGATTCAGTATTCTGTTCAGGTTTTCTGTCTTCAAGCCTGAAATTCATCAACCGCTGTTGAACTCAATTCTTCACAACGATATTCCCAAAGAAGCAGGTCAGATTATTTGCTTTTTCGTTTCTTATAGCTCTCCTTCTCACGACTTCTAGCTATAATATTCTTGAAATTTGGGACGCCCTGGCTTAAATTTTTTAGGCTTTTAATATTGACTGCACCATCAAAAGTTTCTGGAACAAAACAGTGAAGTAAAACAGTAGGCTTATATGATGAACAAGGAAGGAAGAACAAGAAAAGTTTGTATTCGTTGGAATGTCGATCTTTCGTATACATTCATGATAGGTGCCGTTTTGGCGCCCTGCTTTTCATTAATTTAATGCTCGGATGCTGATCTCCATTGCAGTGCCATTAACCAGAAGTGCCTTTTTAAGAGACAGAGTCGCCAGCAGCTACGTGAAAGCATGGTGTGTACTCTTGTTTTCTTCCCACAAATAGAACTAACTTATTAGCCTCTGAAGAAAGAAAGGTGAGTGATCAGATAGGGGCTCGAACTCTGGACCTCTCGTTTCTGAGTTCGACGCTCCTGAGCGATCCAGTCTAGGGAGTTGAGAATGAAAGCACCTTTGCGAATAAGTCTGAAATTTCAGTGAAGTGACACATGGTTGTTCTTGCCGGTGGTATCGAAACTGTCATTGTTAACTTGGAGTCATTATTGGTGTTTTAAGTTCACTACGATTGGTCTGTTTGATGGCAGTCACCTGTGTATGGCAACCAGAAAGATAAGCGCCATACGTTCTTTGACTTTCATATCTTTTGAGCATATCACAATCTAGAATCAGAAGAAAAACTTCATGATGGCAGCGTAAACCGCAGATAATTTATATGCATGGCGTTAGCAATATGGTCAGTCGAATGATTGATTAGTAGTGACGTGTTAGTCTCTGTTTCACGAACCTTCCTGGAGAAAATGAGGTTGGCTGACGGATTTCGAAAATACTTTTGTCATTCGCAGTGGTTGATACAGGCAGAGTCAGAAGGCCGTTTGCCGATTTGAGTATATTATAATACTTCTCAATTATCTGATTGACCATATAATTTTCGCTCTGTATAAATAAATTGTGTTTATGCTGTTTTCAGTATGACCACCAGCACATAAACGAAATACTCAGTCATTCTATTACATGCCATATGACGAACTAGAATTTTAACTGTTATATTTCATTTGGTAATTCTATCCCATACGTTTCTGTTTATGTTGCTTAGTATCAGCAAATTCTCATTTTATTTCTATAGAAGAACCTTTCCATTTCAGATTCAAGTTGTTCCTCACAGTGACGTTTTCCACTGGTCAAGCCTAAGTCAAGAAGATCGTTTTTAAATCTGAAAAATGTCTACGAACAGAGAGATGATAATGTTAT